TTTTGCATGGAAGGCCAACCTTGACTTCCTGAGGATTGGACTCCAGACTCTAGAAGAGTGTATGTGGTATGGCCTCATTTGTGACTTCATAACACCTGTTGAATGTGTGCTCTGTGCATGTCAGTCCACAGAACACCTGATTACCGTAGGCCTCTTTTTAGACCATGCTGAGGCTGAAGGGGCCTCATATCCGGAGTACAGGAGAAAGGTGCTCCAGGGATCACGTGCTGGTGGGCACTTGTGTTGTAAACCTGTTTGTTCATCCAAGACAAGCTGTGCCTGATTCAGCACCAAGAGTATCAGCTGCCATGAAGTGACCTTCAGAGTATCAGCTTAAAAACCCTGTAGTGAGCTGGACATGGTGGCGCACACCTTTAATCCCAGCACTTGGGAGGCAGAGGCAGGTGGATCTCTGTGAGTTTAAGGCCAGCCTGGTCTACAGAGCGAGTTCCAGGACATCCATGGCTACCCAGAGAAACCCTGTCTCAGAAAAAAAAAAAAAGGAAAAGGAAAATTAGAAATGAAGCCGTCAGTAGTGGCACACACCTTTAATCTCAGCATGGGTGGAGGACAAAGGTAGGCAGATCTCTGTGAATTTGAAGATTGCCTGGTCTCCAGAGTGAGTTCCACAACAGTGAGAGCTACACAGAGAGACCGTGTATAAGACAAAAGCAAAACAGAAAAACCCACACATTTAGTAAAAAAATGAGAGCCAGTAAAGTCAGCTAAGAGACTTCACAGCAGAAGTCGTTTCTTAACTTACTGTGTGGAGGCGTCTATGTGAATGTGTTTTATTTAGGGAAAATAAGGGTGCTGGCATGAGGCTAAAGAAATGCATAGAAAATCCTCTAATGGGTAAATTTTGAGAAGGGAACCTTACACTGGGCTGCCTGGGGCTCTCTGAGGAACGCAAGTGCACGCTGAGCAGAGGAACAGAGATGGAACTGGGCAGAGTTGAAAGGATCCCCACGTGTAGCCCATTGCCCTCTGCACCGGCTCAGTGTGTGAAGCCGCTTATTCCAGAGGGGCCTGGAAAGACCAAAGGCGCTGCTCTTCAGCGGAGCTGGCAGGGGCTCTCCAAGTGGTGGCAGGGCGGTGTGAAACTGTGTCCTCCAGTGTTCTCAAAACAGGCCCTGAACCTGAGCCACCAGAACCTGGGAGTGGGGATGGGGACTGAAGTCTCCTTGGGGCTTGTCCTGTGAATAGTGACCGAGTGGCTGGGTGTGGGCCGTCATGGAGCCCTGCTGAGGCTTGTTGCGGGTGTTTTCCAGAGCATCGTGAAGGAGTGCCCTCCCTCTGAAACCGAGGAGAGGAGCAGGATCCAGGCGGCCATCTTCTACTCCATCAGCCTGACCCAGCAGGGCCTGCAGGGGGTGGAGCTCGGCACCTTCCTCATAAAGCGAGTGGTCAAGGAACTGCAGGTAAGCCGGTGAAGTCGGCCCCTGCTCCTAAGTCCCTGTCGAGATGGCAGGTGAGCTCTGCCACCTTCCTGGGGACAAGGACCCAGACAGGAAGGGTTGGAGAAGAGGGAAGGAGGCAGAACAGCATCAGGGCTGCTGGGCCAGGCCTGGAGCCCAAAGAGCAGGTGTCTAAAGCCTAGCATCTCACTGGCTGCTCAGCAGCACACATGTCACATGACACCAGCTGTCTGGGGAGACCTTGCTGTGCACTCCTGGGGGCACACATGTTCGCATGGCCGCCTAGCACTCTCTGCTGCTCTGGTCCATGTAATACGGTTGGCAGCCCTCCCCACAGTGCCATGCCAGACGCTCCCTCCCTGCAGCCCTCAGGGCCTCGGGGAACTGAGGGAAGTTCTCCGGTTAGACCAGGCAGCATGAAGATAAATGCATTAGCCGTGTTGGTCTGATTAGTTTCTTTGCTGCCTGGGAGGGACACGCTACTGTCCTGAGACAAAAATGCTGCCGTTTACCCTGGGCTCAGCTTTTCCGGCTGCTCCATGGGGAGCCCAGTGGCCAGGTAAGGAGAGTCTAACTCTGGGCTGCTGACAGCGCTCTGCACCAGCTGCTTCCTGCTCCCCACGTTTTTCTGCTCAGGTACACAGTGGCAAACTCACAGTGGTGACCTCACCCAGCCAAGGGCAGTCCAACTGATTCCATGCTGGTTTTGCACTGGCTGGTTTTGCACTAGGGATTTGGTTTGATCATGTAAGACAAGCAACCTATCACTGACCTGCAACCACAGTCCCCTGTTCCCCGTCCCCCCATTTTAACGTTTTGAGACAAAGTACATCAAAGTTTTTCAGGCTGATCTTAGTAGTGCCGACATGGCTGCAGGGATCAGATTGGAGAATTGAGTCCTGGGAATCTGCTTTGTCACCATTCTACCTCCATCCCCCAGAGAGGGACAACACGTCTCCTCTCCGTTGTTCTCTGCTGCTGCTGTAATGAGTGCCGCAGGGAGAGGAGACCCAGAGGACAAGGAAGACAGGGAGAGAACAGGATCCAGGATTGGGTGAGCCACCCAAGAGCTTGACCAGGAGCCACCTGTGGCCACTTCTGATACTCATTTGTGAGCCAGGAAGTCCTTCTCAGTGTCTTGTCCTGAATGCTGGCAGAAGCCTGGCACCATTCTGAACCAGAGGCTCACCAGGGCTCCAGAGGCAGCACACTTGAGAGCCCCAGTGTTAGTGAGGAGAAGTGGGAACCCTCTGGCTGACCTTTCAGTGCTGGTCTGTTTCTAAATGATCAGTAGGACGTGTGCACAGTGTAAACTCCCATACAAGATGTAAAATAGCCTCAGCTGTGCAAGAGCTGCAGCGAAAAACCAAAGGTACCATGGCATGCTGGACTCCAGAGAGCTGTGTTCCCACAGCAGTGGGATTTTCCCATAGTGGGCTTACTGTGTTTATAGCCAGGGAGTGCTCATGTGTGAAGACCCTCCATAAGATCTATGTGTAATTTGTATGGAGGTGATTAAGCTATGCCCTGTGGTAATACATCTTTGCCTGGCCCTGCTGACCCCTCTGCCACCACTGGGTTAGAACTGGACCGTCACACAACATGGCGTCTTTATGTCAAGCAAGCATCAGGAGAACCTGGCTCTAGGACACTTGTGGGAGAGGTGTGGTGCAGAGAGAAGGTAAAGACTACATCCCATCCTAAGGGCCAGCTCTCTGGTTGTAAGCAGGCTGCCCACTCCTGACCTCTGTTTCACACTGTGACAATGGTGTGGTTGGAAATATCATGGTTAGGCTGATCTTGAGAATGCAAGATGCCTCCAGGCCTTGACCCTCACCGGGGTCCTCATGGACAAGGCTTGAAAGAAAGAAAGTACAGTGACGCCATCAGCTGGCTCTGCTGCCTGAGGCAGCACACAGGCTGTGTGTTGGGAACGTCCCCGTGTGTGTGCCACCCTGCTGACCGTGTGCTCTCTGCCCTCCTCCTCTCCCTACCTGCTGTGCAGAAGGAGTTTCCTCACCTGGGAGCCTTCTCAAGTCTATCGCCTATACCTGGATTCACCAAGTGGCTTCTGGGCCTCATGACTGTGCAGGGAAAGGAGAATGGGAGGAACGAGCTATTCACAGACTCAGAGTGCAAAGAAATCTCAGAGGTCACAGGCGACCCAGTTCACGAAAGCCTCAAGGGCTTCCTGAGCAGTGGTGAGTGGGTGAAATCGGAGAAGCTGGTGCAGGCCCTGCAGGGGCCACTGATGAGGCTGTGTGCCTGGTACCTGTATGGTGAGAAGCACCGAGGTTATGCCCTCAACCCAGTGGCCAACTTCCATCTGCAGAATGGGGCTGTGATGTGGCGTATCAACTGGATGGCTGACAGCAGCCTGAAAGGCCTCACCAGCTCCTGTGGCCTCATGGTCAACTACCGCTACTACCTGGAGGAGACAGGCACCAACAGCGTCAGCTACCTGGGCTCCAAGAACATCAAAGCCTCTGAGCAGGTCCTCAGCCTGGTGGCCCAGTTCCAGAATAACAGCAAGCTCTAGCAACATCCTCCCAAAGTCCGGGCGCCTGCTCAGAACGGGAGCTGCTACGTTCTGACGGGCCAGGCTTACTTACCACAGGAGCCTTTTCAGGGAAGACACAGCTGTGCTGTGTCCCCTGACCTCAGCAGGCACTCAGGAGGCCCCACCTCAGCTGTCACTGTGCTGGCTGACTCACTGCTTGGAGAAGGTGGTGGTGTGGGTACACATGCCTAGGAATATCCCTGTGCTCCTCCAGAAGCCCTGGCTGCTGCCCCCCAGCCTGTGCCTTCAGGAAGCTCTGCTGCATCACCCACAGGCTGGCTGCCCAGGGCAGGGTTTGTAGAGCTGACCGTCTTCTGTCCTCTCTGCAGTGAGAGGGCTACGGTCTGTGCTGTGGCTGCTGCTGCAGCTGAAGCTCAGACTGGAGGCTTTGGGACATGCACAAGGCATAGCCAGCTCCTCAAGATGCTGCTGCTTGAGGCCAGGGTTGCCTTAGAGGTTTTAAATGAGATTCCAGTTCATAATGAACTGAACAGTAAGGAACAAGTTTGTTCTGTAAACATTAAACATGATTGTTCATTGTACACCTTTCTTCGAGTGGACTTCCCTGTGTGCTTTTCTTCCAGGTTAGAGTCCTGGCAAGGCTTAGGATCAGCCCTGAAATGTCCACAGCGTATGTTCCCCAGCCATCCCATTGGGAACAGAGTGTGGATGAGGACAGAGGTGCAGGACGAGTATGTGTGTGGTTGTCTGTATCTCAGCATGTCTACGTGGCTGTGAGAAGGTCTGTGACACACTGTATGTGTCAGTGTGTGTGCTTGTGTGACTGTGTGTGCGTGTGTGTGTGTGTGTGTGTGTGTGTGTGTGTGTGTGTACTCATAAACTACTACGCTCATACATGTGCATCTGTGGGCATGACA